TAAGAAAGAAATAAGACTGGAATAAAAAAATCAAAATACTATAGGTCTTATCTATGCATGAGATGAGTCATTATTTCTATTTCTCAATAGCTGTCGCTATTCTAAATAGTGTTCATTGTAGCGTGTCACCCCCTCTATACGACCATACTCACAATATATAATAAATACCTTTTATTGCATATGAAAAATAAAAACGACTAAAAAATACCAAAACTGAAAAAAATCAAAATTTCATTCTGAAGTTGAGACCAAAGGACTGTAGATATAACAGGTTTGCTGATAATTATTTGTGTGAATGAAATAGCTACTGTGTTTATATTAAAAAAGATCGTTAAATGAAATTAAAATGAATGAAGCTAAGTCATGCAAGACCTGATCAAATCATGAGTGCAATAATGTCCACCTAACTTTGTAAAGTCTTTCCAATATCAAGATATTTATCTAAGAATTGAGTAGGTTATTTATAATGTGTCGACTTTGTTCAGAAAGAATAAAAAGAAAATGGCTAGATGTATTCGACTTTTACTCGAATAAGAAATGCTGTATAAAGCACAAATTTAGACTTTCTAAAAAAAAGAATATCTCATAAAAAGTGAACAATCGTTTTTACAATGTATCTTGAATCGCATTTTTCCGAAAGATATTTACGCTGTACTGAAATGAGGAGTTTTTTGTTGTCGTTGTTAAGTGAAAAAGTAACTTGCGTATCAATCAGCTGATCAAAGTCAGCATGAAAGTGAAAAATAGCCATAGCACTACTTATCACTGCGAGAAATTCACAAACATGTATCAACATGTGTCTAAGCAATTCTATCGATTAGTCGTTTAATTGTTTTTATGGCTTTATTTACACTAGAAACATAAGTTGGCAGTAATTTCGAATTAAATCTACATGCATCTACATTTCGAGTGCCCGATTTACTTTCCGCGGATTTACTTTCCGTTGATTATTTTTAGTTTTAATTGGATTTTTTGAAAACAAAACTACGTTTTTCGCTATCAAGGATTTACTTTCCGTTAATTACATAAAAATGATTTTCCAATTAACGATTTTTTCATGTGATGATTTACTTTCCGTTGATTACTTCGACGAAAAGAAACGAACAGATACATAGTCATATGACTAGTTATCTGCTCATTTCTTTTCGTCGAGCTAATCAACGGAAAGTAAATTATCACACGAAAAAATCGATAATTGGAAAATCATTTTTATGTAATCAACGGAAAGTAAATCCTCAGCGGCAAAAATCGTAATTTCTTTTGAAAAAAATCCAATTAAAACTGAAAATAATCAACGGAAAGTAAATCCGCGGAAAGTAAATCGTGTAAACCCTACATTTGTGAATTAAATGCATCAATCAAAATTGAGAAATGACCACTATAATGTAGTCGAAGTGCATAATTCTAGCACACATTCACGAAACAAAATGTCGCTTTTGTTGTTCGTTGAGGGTTAATGACTAAGGTAATTTGTTAATAAAGTATCTACCGTTCTGACTTATTTCTTTCAACTACAGACTCCTTAGATATTGTAATGTTGCTTATTCTTCTGCTTCAGTCCCTATTCATTTATATTCTATAGTTCATCATATTGGAAACATCTATGTATCGATAATATATGAAATGACTTTATCAAGGCACATTCATCATTTTAATTACTCGATGAAGTTCGTTCTCTATGTATGCATTAAATGTAATTCGTCCTTGAAAGAGAACGGCATTAAATTTGAATTAAATTTGTGACCAATCAAGTATCTTTATTCAGCATTCACTCACTTTCTAGTGTACACAAGACCTATGATTCGCTATCAATTGTCAGCTGTGAAAACAGCTGTTTTAATCATAAACCAGAAGACTGGGGGCTACCTTTTCTTACTACCTTCGTTTTAATTATTTTGATGCTTCAAAAACACGAAGTCTACAAAAATTTGTCTTTTGAAGGCTCTATTTGTCATAAAATGGAGTATACTGCGACAGATTGGGATAAAAATTGTGCCGATTCGGTTTCGATACTTCGACTTCTCGTTTCAATGACTATTGTCTAATTTGTTTTCTTCGAGATAATCACGATACAAAATTTTCTTCTGCACAATCATAACAAATGATATTACTACATAGTACCTTCCCTATAGAGTTCTGATAGTTACCAAAAAAGATGTCAGCAACTGTCCATCGATGGATTATCATTAGTGCTAGCAATAATTAATCATTGCTAGGATCCGTGCGGGTCTCGTTTCATTTTATCGACATAATGAAAATAAAATTCATATATTATTTATTATATTCGGATTATACTTTGGACGAATGAAAGATTACACAGGAAATTGAATAAAATTGGTAATCTTTTCAGATTTTGACGCCTCTAATGAAGTTTCAACGAGAATCAGATGATGTGCCTGTTACGGATTCTTCTCTCTCATATTATTAAACTGAGTTATCAGCGAGATAGCAACGTGATGGTATGACAACAGAACGAAACAAAAGAATAATCTCCCTTCGCATGGAATCGAACCATGCACCTCCTGCTTACCGGGCAGACGTATTAACCACTTTACTAGAAAGGAGTGTGTCTTATTCTGTTTGTTTCGTCTTATGAATGAAGGGGAACACTTCAGTTCATAACAGTGCCGTTCTCGAGACTGTTGCATCCCAAAATATGAACCTTGCATGCATAATTCGAAAACGAAAAAAAAATCTCGACTGATCACTGTAAAGTACTGCGCACCGTAAAAAGACTGATCGTCGTCGATGATGAATAAAATGATACCAGGATCAATGTTTGGTTCGTGTTCAATGATAAGAATGTGTTGAGATGTCCAGCTGTTTGCATAGTGCTTGTGTATAAGCATATGAATGAATACCAGCGAATGAATAAGTATCAACCTTGCAACGCTGTATTCAATTTCATTTCTATATAATATCTAAGGCAGTACCGATGAAAATAAATTGCCACATAAAAGCAGCAAAGAGAATAATAAAATATTGATTGTAATAATAATTTTGACTATCAAGGCGATGTAATGAATCATGCATAAACAAAATAAATGGATAACGTGATACGTTATACCTGTATATAAAGAAATCGAACACATGCCATATACAATATAACAAGCATAGAAAAAAGGAAAACAAATTGACTGATTGATTCTTGTCATGGTTGCCTGTGTCGAAAGTAATTGAAAATGAGAGTGAATACAAAATGATAGAGAATCGTCATGCATAATGTTGGTGTCGAACGACATAGATCAAACTATATCATTTACAGGATGCTTTAAAATATTTTTTTCGGGTGGTAACGCTGTGACTTCAATTAACATCAACAACAAATTTTACACTAAATGAAAGTGCGTCGAAAATGATGCTCACCAATTGTAAACAGTAAGCGTAAGAGTAAATTCTCATTGTTGAATTCAGAAAATGTCTTAAGTTGTACGCTAAAACATTAAAAAAATGCCATTCATAAGACAGCTCAAACTGAATCTCATTTAAAATGATGAATATCAAAAAGTACTGGACATCTGCCTTAGAAATATTGGAATAATAATAAAAAATGAAGCTGAAAATAATGACTATCCGACACAGAATATAATAATTTTAATCTTAAGTAATATATATCACTTTTTGATATTCATCATTTTACAATAATATTTAGTTAGTTTGACCTGCCTCACGAAAGGAATTTTCTCTGCTAATATGATGGAAAATTTTGGAAATTTTCTGAATTCGACACTGACAACTTGTATAACGCTTACGATTCAGTTTTGTTGAAACCCATTTTCGACGCGCTTTAATTTGATCTAAAATTTATTATTAATGTTATTTGAAATCATAGCGTTATTCATCTAGAAAAATATCTTCATGTACTCTGTATAGTAGTAGAATAATACTTTGCTTACTATTAAGCGACGATGTAGAGAAAAAAATCTTTTATAAGCTTGAAAAGACGGTCGGTGGACTTATACAAACATTGTCTCTGTAGTCTTACAATAAAAACAAGTCAGGTTATAGTATTTTAATATTATGTGAAGTACAAAGAAAGATAGAATATACTTTAGATAAAGACAGCTTCTAGAAAAGAAAAACAAACGCATGATGCGTAATAAATAGTCTACTAATCATCACTCATAATAATTTTAATAACAATAGGTAAAATACGAAAAAAAAAATGTAACACAATAGAAATCTTATGCCAATATTTCATTTCAATACGTTTCGTGTTATTACGTCTAATAAAAGACTAGGTCAAAAATAGGAATGGCTTACAAGACAATAATAGCTTTCGTATACGATTTGATGGTTTTCCTTTACCTACAATTTTGCACGTTTTCATTCGCAAAAACAGCATTCAAAAAATACTCGTTTAAGAATAACAGATATAACTTCTGTTGGATAAAATCAGCAATGCCCTAAAGATTACTATCAATAATTGTAGGTAATCATTTTGTAAAATGTATCCGTGTGAGTAGTTCCATTGACTTATCAGTTGGAAGATTACTTATTTCGTCATCTGTAGTATTGTGTCATCTAGGCAGCAAGCAAAATATTTTTCGATTGAATACTTCGAATTGTTCCTTTTTCACACGAGATAAAATTGAATTTAATGTTCAAAATAGATTGATAGTATGAACAAATATATGCAGAATATGATCTATAGAAAATTTCCTTGGATATCATACACTCGAACAATAATCGTTTGAACTCTAATTTTTGTATGAATTTTTGTCTTGATGTAGTCAAGGTAAAAATTAAAGGCTAATCTAACATGAAGAATAACACTATGATATTTGAATTTCGGAACTTACTCGATGACGCTACTTTCGTAATAAATAACAGGAAGAGTTAGTGATATACGGCGATGAAAAAGAATCCAGAAAGTCTTTGTGAAATTCAAGAACTTGTTTCTGAATAATAGAATGACAATAGAAATCTTAAATCATGTTGATAATTTGTTTGTCAAAAATGTGAAATAAACATGTTTGAGGGTCGGATGGGTGAAGATAAAATGACAATAGCAAGATCATCCGAAAATAATGTTTGAAATAAAGATAAGAAATTAAAGTTAATATATCATAGTAAAAAATGATGAACAACTCTAGAAGAATTCATGAAACATGAGATACACCTTTGAATAATGGAAAACAATTGAATGTACTTCCTATGATTTCTATATAAGCTTAACGTCTGGATAAGTAATGTCGTAACCATGCAACAATGTGAAGAGAACAGTTCAAACGCCTAAACTTGACCCAGAGTCCCTCAAACTACATTTGGTTGAAAGCTGATTTAAAATCTATGAACAGTACAGGTGTAGCTGTGTTTATCATTAATCTTGATTCAATCTGATTAATAATTGATACAATTCAAGTAAACATGTTGGTTCCTGAACGGGAATCGATCTGTTCATCTGGCAGGATACCAGTAGCTGAAACCCATTTATGAAAGGTGCATAATGAACAATTTGCTCATACAGCTTGGAAAAACATGAAAGTAATGAGTTGAAACAATTATCACTTATGTCGACAATTGAAGATTTAATTTTGGACTGTAGTATCATTTTTACTGTATACTGATGTCGAGAAAAACATATATGTTGAGCCATGTAATAAAAAGATGAAGTTATAAACGTGAGATGCACTGGAAGAAGAAGTCTTATTATTTTATTTGAAATAACATCCAACTCTGTAGAATTTTTGTTCTTTAACGATAAGATAGATCTTTTGACGTTAAAAAAGAATTGAGAATGAAAATTATCCAGTTTAAAATTTTGCAATTCTCGATCAACAATGTCATCTTCAGCCTTTATCATTTGTATACATCATTGAAGTATAATAAAGCTTTTATTAATTAAGAATTAAAAAGAAACAAGTGCTCTTCTATCATACGATTATAAGAAAAAAGAAAGAAAATCAATTTAAATAAATTCAAAGAAAAAACAAGTCAATCCTAAAGTTGTGGATTGCATTGTTTTTCAGGTATATTCTCAAGTTGATTATTAAGAATAAGATGAAAAAAAAAATTCAATCCTCGTTGCATATCATTATGTCTTATACGTTCATTATCACCATGAAGACGACTTAAATCATCATAACGATAAACAAATGGAGAAAAACGATATAAATTTTTGGATAAATTTGTATATGATCTACTATCTGTTGCGCCTAACATTAAACCAGGTACAACAATAATTGGTTGACGTTCTTTTTCAAATATTTGACGTATTGTTTCTTCAAGAATACGATATGAATAAATATCTTTACCATATGGTGATATAGGTGATGGTTCCGAACATGAAAGAATATGAGGAACAATACGATCATCATTTATTATACGACGATTATTTTCAAGAATTTTTTTACATGAATCAGCTGGATGAATACGATCTAAATAAAATAAAGATAAGGATTGATTTTTTAAAACAAAGAAAGAAGAAATGGATTATCGAAAACTTTTTAGATAAGATATTTGTTCTACTTTGACTCTCTAGAAAGTCTTTTCAAAGAATCAAAAGCTATGATTTTGTGTTGTTTTCGAATATAAGGTTATAAATTTGGCTCACAAATAAAGATCTCAACTGTCTAATTGCTTTTTCAACTAAATTTAGTGGTCACAGATAACCGACTATGCTAATTCAGAATATCAATATCAGACTGACAGTTTGAACTTCAGAGACTCATATCGCGAAAACCAGTCTTTCCTAGCGAGAATATCTTTTCGTCAAAATCTTTTTTGATCAGACCAGATTGACGAGCACGTCGAGTTCACTATAAGACACTGTTTTTCTCCATGTTGAAACTATCACTGGTGGAACCAGAAACAAAAGTTTTCCTCTCACATACTGATTTTATAAAACAAAATGTTCATCTGTTTTTCTGTAGAAATCAAAAGGGAAAATAAAAGATTATATTTCTGGCTGCCTCAGTAATCATTTCCAAATGGAGAAAGATAGTGTTTCATGATCAACTCGACATGTTCGGCAATCTAGATGGATGGAAAAAGATTTTAATGAAAAAGTTTCTCGTTAGAAAAACTAGTTTTGGAGAAATGAGTCTCTGATGTTCTAACCACCAGTCTCATGTTGATATTCGAAATCAATTTGGTCGATTACGTGTATCTCACTAGATTAGGTAAAAGAAGCGATTAGAGAGTTAGCGACCTTTCCTCGTCAGTTTTTGTTCCATTGTAGTGAAATAATCTTTGAAAAGTCCAACAAATTAATTTAGACGAAAAAGTTTTGTATTTTCACTATTGCGATTTAAAACCAAAAGTTGGAATCTTTATATATATGGGGATGATCAATCTAGCTGAATATTCCAATTTTTTTTGTACGTGTTGCTTTAATAATGCATCAGAAAAATATGATTTTTTTACCAGTTATAGTATTCATAAAATGCTGATCATCTACCAAGACCATGAGACTGTATCTTGTTTAAAACCAAAACAATTAAGTGTCTTCAAAAAAATCTTTTATTATTTAGGAACAGACTTTGCGAAGAACTTGATTACTTTGATTTGAATCAAAACGTAGACTCCTTATTCTTGGCAGATGATCAGCTTTGTACGAGTACTCCAACTAGTAAAAAAATCATATTTTTCTGATATATGATAGTAGCTACATGTACAGAAAAAGAATTGGGGTATTCGGCCAGACTGATCACTCCCAAATATATATAAACTTGCATATCAAAACCCACCGTAAAAAATACATTATTTGAAGTTCTTTGTTGTCTTTTGATACAGCACCTCAATTTTTGTTCTTCCTAAATATTCATTTTTGAAACATGCTTGTAGTCTCACTTGAGTAAATTCTGCAGCTTGGATCAGCATCATATTTTGTAGAGAAGTATGCGTTCGACAAAATGGTCGACTCGGACAAGTTTTAGCATGCTAGCAAAGGGACATTGAGAATAGACAACAGTCTGTTCGCTCACCATTATAAATAACTTGTCAGGTGTTTCAAAAATTTTCTGATTACTCTTCAACAAAATAGACAGAACATTTCTAAATGCATATTCAAATTTTGGTCGCAACCTACAGCTTTTGAGTCATCGAGAATATTTTCTAGTGACTGAGAAGCAAACAATCATCTTGTCTAGAAACTCTCAAATCACTTGTTACTTTTCTGTTTTTAGTTTTTCTTCTTACGATTAACAGTAGCTGAAGCTGATGTTGGTAAAATATTCTCTTTTTCTCCACCAGAAATAAGGGTTACTGCTGTTGTTGTACGTTGTAAAGCATCCGTTGCTGGTTTTTGACTTAAAACCCATTGAACAGCAGATCCAAATAACCAAATATTACTCAAAACTAATCGTAATGGAAAATTTAAATGAGGTGTTATACCATGTAAAAAACTTAGTTCAGGCCCACGACCAAATTGTGATGGTTGTGGTGTACTTTCAAGTTTATCAACAGCACGAGCTAATATTCCAATAGCTGTCGGTGTTGATGGCATACTTGAATGACCTGGTGCAATACTAATACGATATTCAATACTCGCGTAACCTTTTTCAGCGACAGCAATTATAGCAATTGGATTATTAACAGTTGGAAATGCTTCTTCAACAATAACTGTTCCTTCATCAAGTACAAATTCAAATTGACCATTATGACCAAATGGTTGTTGTGCGAGATAACGAGCAATACCTTTAGCTCCTGATTTACCAACTTCTTCATCATGTGTTAATGCCACATAAAATGTTCGCGATGGTTGTCCATATATATTCAAATATTCCTATTCAGAAAAGCTAATGAAATTTAATATAAAAAAAAATTTAATTATATATTTGAGCCGTGGATTTATTTTATCGATTACAATATGCATACATCACAATGAATTACTAGCGTTTTTGACAAATTATACATGTATCCTACCTTAAGAGCTTCCATCATAGTGAATAAATTTCCTCTACAATTATTTATAAGAAAAAAAAAACTTGAAAAAATGGTTCACCTTCAATATTACTTATCGTCGAGTGTACCACGTGCATAAATAAAGTCTTCATCTGAATGAGCATCAAAAGGCGGATATTTCCAACGGGTTACATTTCCAGCTGGTACAACATCCATATGAGCAGAAAAAAGAAATGGTTTTAAATTTGGATTTTTTCCTTGAATAGAATATAATAATGAATATTTTGCGATATTATGTAATTGAACAAATTTTGAATATTTTAGTATTAAATCCTCATAATGTCTTTTTATAAAATCTCTACATTTTGCTATTTCCTTAAAATTTTGTTTATTGACTTCGTAGGATATTGTTTGAAATTGAAGTAATTTTTGAAATATTTGAAGACGCTGTTGATCAAATTTCAAAGAGTGCCTGTCAATTGATGATGAACATGGTTCAAATATAGCTTTATCTGGTGTAAATACTACATATGCACGATAGAGAAGAATACATAAAAATATTGAAAATACAATTAAAATTGTATTCCAAAACATATCTTCAATAAAAAAAAAAGCATATATAAATAGTTTTTTTCAGATGATCAAGACTTATTGCTATAATCAATCGCATACGGAATTAATACACGAGTTCAACATCTGAGAAAAAATAATATTGAGAATTTTTTTACAGCAAAATGTAAAGTGAATACTATTTGACGTATTATATATGTTCTATCATTATCTGCATGCGAACTAAGGGTCAAATAGGTTAATCAGAATATAGGATTTTCGACTTCTATTCGATCAAGTATGGGGAAAAAAGTCATCAATACTTTATACAGTTGTTTATCCATGTGAATCAAAATAAAAATGTATCATTGTATGCTTAATGAATATTGTTTATCTTAATAAGTGTAAGCTGATTTATATTAGATAGAGATTAGTTTTTATCTTCAAAACCAAAATATATTCGAAAATTTCGTTTTCTTTCTTTTCTTTTTTGTCCTATGGATATATCGATCGATAATAGTACATTATTTTTTTCTCCAATTTCTTTCCTTCTTCCAAGCATATAAAATATATTTATATATACATTTCGTTACTCTTGTTTTACTGACTCTTCGTAGTTACTAAAATTACGTACGATAAAGTCATACAATAGACGTATGCAATAACAAACATACATTGTATAATAGCTGCCATTGTCTTTTTAGCCTTCAAAACAATTTAACTTGATGTAAACTTGGTTTTTCATAAACGAATAACGACAATGTAACCAATGCGTGCTATAATTATTCATTATTTCAATTCTTTTTTTTGTCTTTAGTTTTTTATTTTTCATTATTGGATTTTATTGAAAATAGACGAGTAATATGCATATAGAATTTACCATGTGAGACACTTCTATAGGCTAGCCTGTCAGCTGAAAGAAGAATGAAAAGAAAAGAGTGACGGTCGTAAAAAAACGATGCATGTATGTATGTGTGCATATCCACAGAAAAAAAAAAACTTTTGATAGGTTGTATAAATGTTATAGAGGTGAAGTAAGTTGAAAAGAGAATACAACGAGAAAGAGAGAAAAATTATGCTACGCCGCTTTTTCTTTTACTTCTGTAATCGTTGATTCATGAACACAAAAGAGACAGAAAAATTTTTTTTTTTTATTTTGACATGTTAACATAGCGAAGAACATGAGAAGGTCAGAGCATGTAGAAATCGGGCATTAGTGATTTTATTTGGTGAGTCGATGTACTTTTTGTAAATGGTGTATATTTTATAAAAAACGAATAGATTTTCTCGAATCTTTGAAAATAAATAATAGATAATTTATTTCATAAAAAAAAACTCAGAATATGATTTTGTTTTCGTCGTGTTTACTCGCTACAGTTAAACGTGCCTTCAATCAGAGTATTCTCGTTTCGTCGAAAAGTAACAAGTTTAAAGAATATACTTCAAAGCATATCAAAGTCGGTGAGGGTGCGGGTGCGGGTGATGGTGATTTTCGACGAAACGAGAACTAACCCCTTTAATCGTTGTGTTTGCGAATTATAAATAAAAAAATCGTTTTTTTCTGCGTTTACAAATTATATTATTGGAGAAGTAAAGTTATTTATTTACACAATATTTTCATTCATAAGATTTTGTTTAATATTCTATTTTTTTGTTTTAGTTATCTAAATGAACTTATTTATTATTGATAATAATTCTCTATCGTTAATTATCAATCGTATGCCTATTAATTTATTCTAATGGTGAGATATGTAACAATGAAACGTATAACACAAATTCTTGCGTCAATTGTATTCGTTATTACAGTCGTAACTGTTTATTTTGCGTTTGATTTTGCAATAAATACTGCTATTTCAAATAAAGCTTCTTCTCATAAACGTTCTCGTCATGAACATGGCCATCATGGTGGAGATAATCATCCACATGATGATATTAGAATGACAAAAAAACGTTCCATAGTCCCATCAACATTGTCTCATGCAAAGAAATCTAATCGAACAATAAAACATCACAATGATGATGACAGTCAAAATTTTAATAATGAACGTCGTGGCCGTACTGCGAAAGAAAAAACAATATCACCCGTACTTGGTGCTAAACCTGGTCATTTTCATAAAGGTAAAACAGGTGTTAAAGTGAATAAACCACGAAAAATTATTGGAGAAAAACGGAAGCGTTTAACAACAACAACAACCGTGGCCGTTCGAAATAAAGATATACATAATCCTGATCGTAAAGTACATGTTTAATATTTTTAATTCGATACAATAAATGAAATAAAAAAGAAATATATATATAGATCGAAGCCTTTTTTTTTCTTTATTGAATGTTTAATATGAATGACGGAAAACAAAAAAGAACAATAGAAGGCCCAAAACCCGAACTAGATCCTCATTCAACACGAAAAAAAGAAAAGAAGATGAAGAAGAAATGTTCATATTTCTTTATATTGTTGCTAATCGTCATGACTTTCAGAAATATTTGTAGCTTCTAATTTCGATGTTGCTCCAGCAACATTACTCTCGCCAGATGGGCCAGCAAATTCATCTTCAGCATGATTTGTACGTGTTTCAGCTAATTCTCTAAATCTTTTAATAACTTCATCAATTGAAAATTCGCCATGTTGTTTATTATCACGTGTACGAATATTAATTGTTCCATTTGCTTGTTCTGTTTGACCAACAACTAAAAATTCAAGAAAATAAAAATAATAATTCTTATAATTATATGATGAATCGAATATTACCGCCAATAAAATTGTATTGAGAAAGTTGATTTTGACGAATTTTTTTATTTAATGTCGTACCTGGATCTAAATCACAATCAACTTGAAAACCAGCAAGCCAAAGTTTCTTTTGAATTTCTTGAGCATAGGAATCTAACGATGGAAAAACAGGTACAATTGCCATTTGACGTGGCGATAACCAGAAAGGCCTAAGTAAAAATAAATTTTCTTTTTAAGAAGAATTATAGAATATGCCGAATGGCAACTAAAACGACAGAATCATCTATTGAATAAAATTATTCCAAAAGAAATGATATACTGAACTATACAATAGAGATGTGCAAGGTAAACTGTTTTCGTATTCTGAAATTTGATTGAGAAAAATTTTCTAACTTTCACTCTACTCTACCCTGCATAGCTCTACTATACAACGAAAAAGTTCAATATACAACTTTCAATTAGTAGCTTTGCAAAAGTTCTCTGCCTATTAGATAGATTTTAAATTGGAATTCCTTTTAATAAGACTAGTATTTTCATAATGATAAATACATACCATTTTCCACCAAATGATTCTGTAAGAACAGCCATCATACGTTCAATTGAACCTAATATAGCTCGATGAATAATAACTGGCGTTTGAAGTTCACCTTGTTCATTTCTAAATAATAATATATTAAATCCATTTATATTATCCTTTCTTTTTTTTTGTTTTTATATTTACGTTTGATATTGAAGTTGAAAACGTTGAGGTAATTGAAAATCAAGTTGAATTGTTGCACATTGATGAGATCGTTGTAAAGCATCTCGAATTGTAATATCAATTTTTGGCCCATAAAAAGCACCATCACCAGGATCAACTTTCCATCGATAACCAAATGAATTAAGAGCTTCTTCAAGTTGACTTTCAGCTCGATTCCATGTTTCAATTTCACCCAAGAAACTCGAAGGTCGCGTTGATAATTTTAATTCAAATGTAAAACCAAATATACCATAAACATGTTTTAGAAGATCTAAACAACCTTCTATTTCACTTTTTATCTAAATATATAACAAGAATTTAAAATTAATCGATATGAAATTTTGTTTTTGTTAATAAAAATCTCTTACTTGTGATTGAGTACAAAATATATGTGCATCATCTTGTTGAAACCTTCGAACACGTGTAAGACCACTTAATGCTCCTGAAAGTTCATTTCGATGTAAAACACCAAAATCAGCCATACGTAATGGTAATTCACGCCATGAACGAAGACGTGATGCAAACATCACACTTAAAACAAAACAAAAAAACATTTCATCAAAAATTTCTTTTATTTATTTATTTACCAATGTCCTGGACAATTCATTGGTTTAAGTGCATAGGTTTCTTTTTCGATTTCTGTTTTAAACATATTTTCCTATTAAAACAAAAATTAAGAATATTACTAAAATAAATTTTTCTTTGTTTTTTTACTGAATAATGATCCCAATGTCCAGATGCTTTCCATAATTTGGCATTGAAAATATTCGGTGAAATAACTTCTTGATAACCACGTTTACGATATTCACCCTAATTACAAGAAAAAGAAAACAAATTTCAGAATAAAAATAAAACAAATAATTATATAACAAACTCGAATAAATTCAATAAGTTTATTGTAAATATGTGTTCCTTTCGGATGAAAGAAACATGAACCAGGACTAAGTTCATGAAAAAAGAAAAGATCTTGTTCAAGACCAATCTTTCGATGATTTCGTTTAGCTGCTTCTTCTTGAAGATGTTTCCACTCTTTAAGTTGTTTTGCATCAGGAAATGATATTCCATATATACGTTGTAAAGTTTCACGTGATTGATCGCCTTCCCAATATGTTGAAGAATTCTTTATAATAAAAAAGTACTATTTCAAGAACAGAAATCTTTTGCTTTTTGTTTTTACTTTTGTGATTGCAAGAGCTTTAACTTTTCCTGTATGGCGAATATGTGGACCACGACAAAGATCAATCAATGGACCACATCTAAATATTGAAAGATAAATTTTTTGTAATTTATTTTTTAATTCGTTTAAATATTACCGATAAACAGTTGTCGTTGGCGTATGAACTTTTTCATTAAGAATTCGAACTTTAAATGGATTATACTAAATAAAAAAAAAATGGAGTTTATTCATAAAATAATTAAATTGAATTTCTTACTCCAAATAAACGCAATAAATCTTCTTTGGAAATTTCTAAACGTTCAAATGGTTGTTCTTCTTTAACAATTCGTTTCATAACTTTTTCCAATGGATCATAATCAAGACCCGATACCGTTCTATTTTTCAACATAAATAAATATTTACTAATGAAAATTTTTCTTACCGATTTTCAAGATACATATCATAATAAAAACCTTGTTCAATAGGTGGTCCATAACATAAACAACCACCATAACATAATTCCATAGCTTCACCCATAATATGTGCTGTTGAATGCCAAAATACTTGTTTTCCTATTTAGATATATGAGTATAATCATTCGTTAGAGATACGAATTCGAAAAATTAGAATACATGTATCTCGGAATAAGAAATTTTCCTAGAGCTAATTTTTATATGTTATACGTATGGTAAGTTACTCTCGATTCCTTGAAAAAATCAGCGCTAATCATGTTTATCACAATCATATTTACAAACGAAAAAAGGACGATTGACTGTAGATGTTGAAGCAACGTTCCATGAACAAATACAATTAGACAATGGACGAAGACATATTTTAGTGTTCGTAATGATGAAACTACTAATTTTTTTTTATATGGATGTGTGTTATTTATTTATTCGTTAGGATTGCATATTTACATATTTTATTTGTGTTCATGTCGTCTTATTTATCATGATGCGTAATTTTTTTTTGTGCTGAAAGGATACTAGCATGAAAAATAGTAAATTGTAGATATATCTATGCTAAAATAACTTGTTCAGAAAAGTAATTTTTTCGATATAGTCAATATTGAATAATGAATTATACTCAAATAAAAATTACCTTGTTCATCATCAAATTTAATTAATTCTAATGATGAATCTTTTTCCAATGGTCTATCAAGATCCCATAATTCACCATTGACTTTCGCAATAACAGTTGCAGCTGCCAACCCTTGACTGAATATTTAGGAAAAAAAGAAACAGTACATTTGAAAATAATAATTGATCAAATAAACATACCTAATACCCTGTGCAATTTCATTTGGAGTTGTTTTCCATGCTTTACCAGGTAGTTTTTTTCCATCGGGTAAAGTTATTGTGATATCAACTTGTGGCTGTGCAGCAACATAATTTTGATATTTTGTTTTTAATTCCTCCCAGACTTTAATACGATTTGGAATGTAATCTGGTGGTGGATTTAACTGAAAGAATTAAATCAAATAGTTTTTTAAAAAATTTACATTTTAGTTTTCTTACTTCCGTAAGCGTTGACTTTGTTTCTGGTTCAGCCATGTATTTTTGTTGAATTTTTTGCCAAGATTTATTAAGCTAAAAGAAAAAAAAACACTTTCAAAAAGTTAAATAAATAAATATCTAACATACACTAAGCGAAATCGAAAACGATCGAGTTTGTAGACGATGAAATCGACAAATATATGTTGGAAAACGCGGTGTGAAAACTGTAGTGAGCGATCTGAAATAATAGACATATATTATGATCTAATATTCCAAAAAATAATGCTAAAAATATCATGCAAAGAATCTTTCAATGATACTATATATTTAAGGTATTAAGCAACGTAAAAGCTCACGCAAAATTACTTCATCATATTGCATGCATTGATATGAAACATTGCATCATCTATTTCTTTTTGAAAATCAAAGTAAATGGATAAGTTTTTTTTTATTTCGAATATTCGAAGGAAATACTAAAAACAAAAGAAAAAAGTAGAACAGATTCTTTTGTGAACAAGGTCAACTGAGCTGTTCAAACGTCAATGATTTCTCCAAGAAAGAATTAGTTTAGGGTCACCAATCAAACTTTGACCGTGATATTTGGTGACATCTATCTTCATTTGTTACATGAAGCAGCTAGGTAGGTCACTGAGAGTATCAAAACACAAATGAGGTCATATTCTATGTTGCCATTGTTGTCAAAATAATAAATATAAACATATACTAAAACAATGTGATTATACACAAAAGGTAAAACAACAAAAACAAAAGTAAAAATTAACACAATAAAATAAATAAAAACAATGATTTTTCTGAGTTATGATTATTTCTACTTATTCTTGAAAATTATGACGATTTCACATCATGGAATCTATGTATCGGAATGTTAAAATCACATTCTTACTGAGATTTTTTGTTTCATTATAATGCATTATAAAATATTATGCAGTAATTAAGAATGATGATTCATCATCCTCTGCTAATATATGACTTTTCCGACGATTACTTCGTATTTGCCATGCAGTGATCGGTAAACACTGTAAACGGATTATTGTTTGATATTTCCACAGAAGCCAAATAATACCCGCTGTAATACATATGGTTATTTCAATATAATAAGGATCTATAGATGGATGGCAGACACCTCCTAATATACGACAAGTTTTTTCTTCATTCTCTGTTTCACATTGACTACCACCTAATGAACATGTTTTCCATGTTAAATAATCAGCTGCATATAAAGCAGTTGTTGAAATCCAATTAGTACCTGAAAAAACAACAACAAAGATGAAAAATATTTAGATTTTCTTAATTAGTTCATGAAACTTTACCAAGATTTGATAATGTATTAAGTAATGTCATATATGTTCCACCAATTTTAGGATCACTAACTTGAGCAAAAAAAGCCATTTGAGAAACAAACATATTGTAAACAAATATTTGATGTATACCATAAATAATAATAGCTAATGTATAATAATACCAAGGAAATGTTTTATTATAATTTTGAAATGTTGGTGTATAATAAACAAATATAGCCATGATTATACCTAAAATTAATCTATTAAGAAGAAAAAATTATAATTAATAAAAAAAATCAAAAATAAGAAAAGTTTACCGAAATGGATATGATTTAATATAAACATTTAATGGTTTCCTTCCAGTCATATATTTTGATATAAGAAATGGTAAAATAATTTGTAATGGTACTAATGGTATAGCTAATAAAGCTAATGAATCTCTTGCAACACCACGTTCAATTAATTCTAATCCAGTCATTGCATCTGTTGCAGCAAAACCTATCTAAATAATAATTAATAATAAAAAATAATGTATACATGAATTTATTAATATATATTATTAAATATCATACTTTAGCTGTTAATAAAATCAGTGCTATGGATTGTACTGATGATAAACGAAAAACTTTTAGAAGAACTTTATATGTTTCAGTAAGACCAAAATGAGGTTCATTTGGATCATAATTTTCATCAATTTCATGTTTTAATAAAGCAACTAATGTTGTTGATATTAGAAAAATTATTCCCCAGAATAGAAGAAAACCTACGAAAAAAAAAAACACAATTTCATTGAAAGTCATTTATAATTCTTCGGAGAGCTCTTTTTATTATTTTACCAGGTAATGTAATTAATCCAGTTGATTGTAATTCCATATTCAATGGTTGTCGTATATAACTATTTGCAAAATCTTTTGATTCAAATGCAAGAAAAACGACATTACCCAAAAAATATCCAGCGGTTTGACCAACAGAATTACATATACTTGCCCAGCCAACATTTTCTCTATTATAAAAACAAAAATTTCCTTAATAGTAACAAGCACAAAGAGCCCAAATAATGACTTGAATAGAGAAATTTGTTTCCAACAAACATTTAAGAAAAAATACAGTACTCAGAGTATTCACAAAATCCAAAACCTAGTTTTTCAGTCCTCCAAACTCCAAAATAAATTACATGGAGTGATAGAACAACTAGTTCCCTTGAGGATGAGATGTTACCGACATTTTTCGACTGAACTGCATCAATTTTAGGAAGAAGCTCTTTTGTAGCCAAAAATGATCGTACAGAGCCCGTCCTGTTTGTTCGACTTCAAAATTTTCCTGTAAACCAATTGTGTAATCAAAATAAACTTTTATTTTGAGTAATACTGGGAGAAAATTGTTTTTCTTCAAATCTTCATTGAAAAAAAATCGAAATTAAATCTGTATGATCGATGTTTGAAGTCATTGTACATCATTTACCTTGAAAGCATTGAAAGTGCCCAACCATCGACACAAATATCTTGTGTAGCTGCAAGAAATGATAAACCAAAAAAAATTGATGTAAGAAAATAAATATCTAAATTAAAAAATTAAATTTTTAAAACAATAATTATAATATAAAATTAAAACACACGTGGTTGATTATTTATTGATGCTTGTGTTGTCAGTAATATATCATTAATATGATATGAAAGTATAATCATAACTAATCCAATTAAATATTGTACTGGTATAAGCCATGTTTTTCTTCGACCATATCTTTTTATATATAATGCATCGACAATTGGTGCCCAAAGAAGTTTAAGACTAAATGGCCAAAAAGCAAATGAAAATATTGCTTGTTGAGACCAACTGGTACCATATGTTTGAATAATTAAAGGTATTGATGCAGCCATACCAAGTGGAATACCTTGTAATAAATATAGGAATAATAATAGACTTATATTACATTTATCTTTTCTCCAATCGCTTTGTTTAGGCATAGACGGCGTTCCTAATGATGATGGAAGACTAGCAGTGTCAATTGTTGATTGCTCTTCAATAAATAATTGTATTTGATTAGTATCTTTTTTGTTTAGCGTTGATTCTGTTTTCAATCGACACCGAAATTCCATTCTTGAATGATCATTGAAAGAAACGCTTTTTTAACAAAAAACGTATCTTGGTTAATATCTGTCTATTCATTCCTTACCACGTATTCGTCACTGCTATCCAATGAATATTTAATTTGTTCATTTTTATTCAATATCATAATTAGCAGACTTTTAAAAAAATACTTATGATATTTGAAGAAATTGTATAATCGACAAAAATTTATAAAAATGATGAATTTATAAAACCAAATTAGTCGTTTTAATTTATTATATTTTCTGATTGGTTTAGAAATCATCACTATAAATCACAGCGCCCTCTTGCTACTTTTGTTTTGAATTCTACAACAAAAGTGACGTTGTCACGATTTTTTTACCAATTAAACAAATAAAGTTATAAGCGACAGTTATATATTAAATCTGCTGTTAGAAATGAGTCGTATTCTATTGTGTTGTAAATAGTTAATACCTATATTGTATATCATCAACATTTTCGACTGCATGCTGTTCTCCAAAGTGAAACAATATTGCCTACAAATCGAAATTTACCTGTACCTGTCTCTGTCTGAAACAAAGTTACCATATGATAATTATGGTGACAATAGTACAAATGCCTGTATAGGATAATAACAGAGAGTGCCTACGCATTATGACTAAAGTTAAGCAAGGAGTAGTATCCCAATACGAAGAATACCAAATTCGTATACACTCTGTGTTTCATTAAATACGATCGTTTACACGTATGTTTTGCCGTTCTCGGACGTTTTTAAAATTAGAATTGGCGATCATTATTATTAAATTATTGAATGTTTTAATCGATTGTTCCATGCTGTACACATGAAGACGTGATTTAATAATTTTTAAGAGTTAGAGAGTGAGTTTGCACATCACATTATGATTAAATTAGGTCACATTTCTTGAATAATGTGACATAAATGTTTTTTTTGCAGATAGAAATAGTGCATATATGACCAATTATAGATACTTGTATTAATTTTTATGTTATTTTTATGCATATATATAAAACATGCGTTTTATTCCAAACATGAAAAAGAAGGTACAGAATAATATGAATGATGAAAAATCGAAAGATTTTCAATTACAAATTTCTTTTTTTTATAATATTGAAACACAGCATAAAGTCTCCAAAAAAATCAATGTACTATTCTTTTTGGTCACATGCTATTTAGAGAAATTTAGTAATTCGATATATATCAGTATACGATTAGCAAAATTTTTTAACCGACGTACTCAATTATTATTTGAGGTTTTTAAAATAAAGTTTCGAGAGCCATATTAAAGCACAAAAATCAATATACTTATAACAGTACAATGATAAAAATTTAACAAAATTTCTGTTGAAAAACCAGTAATGTTTCATATATAAACTGAACTGTATTAATCAAGTGTTGCGTATTCAGAATCGGTTCAGTTTTGTATTAACATAAAAATCAAATTTTATAAAACAAAAAAACTTAGTTTTATAAAAACGAACTGCTGTCATTTATCAAGTCACCACTCATATTTGTCACCTACTTCACTTAATGCACGTTTATTTCTAGATGTATCTATATCCATATCTTTATTGTATCAATTTAAGGCCAACTAAAGCGAGTTTCTATGAACGTAACTTGTTTTCTAGAAGTTACTAAATAGTTTTTGAAAACCCATGATTAATATTTTTTACGTTTATATGATAGGTAAAATTGAAATTCAGGTAAATTCTAATATTGAATGAACACTCATTAGTCTAAACTGAAATTCCAGTTCTACCTGGGCAAAATGAAAATTCGATTAGAGAGAAATTCATTCAAATAAATCAATTAAAATGTGAATAAAATAACTAGTTTTTTATATTCAATAATATCTTTTCATTTCACTACACAATTTACAGGATAAAACATTACAATCTATTCACCCATATTTGTACAATCATCTCTTTTTGAATGAAATTTTGTCAAACAAAGATTTCCATTTTTTTTACACGAACATCGTGTTGTTGCGCATCCGTCTTTAGAATCGCAAGTGCAACCGTTTGCTGAATTCGATTCAGACATTTTTTTTACTATGATTGTAACACATATATCTATATATATATATATACTATTTCTCGAAATAACCGCCACGATGACAGCTTTCTCTTATCTTTTCATTCCATTTGACTTTTTGGCAAAGCATATGATTGCGTGAATTTTTGTCTAGTCAAATTTTAATTTTGCCCAACTAAAACTTAAGATAGAGTTCTGACGGATGCATATCTAGTTTATATTAACTTAGAATTATAACTGTCTGATAAAAATTAAAATTTCAATCTTAAGCGTAGGTGTGTTTATGTGTGAAAAGGAGACTCACATTCTCTTTTGCTAGTATAGCAAATATTCTCTGATTTGTATCAATGGACAAAGATCATGCATGCAACATTATTCAATGTGGTTCATAATCAATTAGTTCTGTATAAATATGATCCTCAATACTAGGATGTGCCAAATATTTCATGTGTAAATAAATTTGATGCCGTTTGTCTGGTAAAATCCTGGCAAGTATTTTCGATGCTGGTTTCTCATCATATTCACCTCCTTCGAAAATATTACTACGAGATTGTGCGAGTTTCGGAACTGATGGTTGTAGAACGAGCAAAATACATTCATGCATTTTTAAGTACCTTAAAGATTGCTTTTTTTGCAAAAGTATATTGATTTAAATGATAAAATTATCTAAGGAAGTCGATGACAACATCCAATATTCTCAATATTTTCTGTTTAATCTACAGTCAGTAGTAGTTCTTGTTTGAAATATTTATTTGTTTCACATTTTTCTAACCCTTTTTTAACTTTTTGTGTCATATTTACTTGTGATGGAGCCTCATAAGCATCGACTGAAACAAGACCATCTTTATCAATAACAATACAACTTTTTGATTTATATAAAACTTGAATATTATCATCAGATGATGGATAATGATAATGATCGGATCGTTTTTGACGATATCATTGAACAATCACTGAATAGCGTGATGTCTCAAAATAACAAAAATAAGAACATGTGGTACATGTATTAAGTACTTAAAATAACCGTGAACACCATTTTCTTTAAAAAAGTTAACATAAAAAGCAGAGAAAAAGATAATTTTAATGTTAATCACAAATTAAATTAAATTACCAATTTTTATGCATTGTGTAATGGTTTTTTTTCTTGTCAAATACTTCTTTAGCATATTCAAGTAACCTTGCATGTTCAATAGTGTCTTCTGTGGCTAATTAACTTGTATCATGTAGCTTATTTTTACATATTGTTGAATAGTGATACGTTGGTTTTCTGGTTACTCAGATATTACCTTATTGATAAGATATCTTTTTAAAAATGAAATCAGATGCATACAAATAGTTGATTCGAACACTCAAAAAGATACCCTTTCCTACTCGTTTTCTAGAATAAATGATCTCGTTATCTTTACTTTTCAATATATGTATATCATTTTGATTTATTTCATGAATACAAAATAACATCCTAATATTAGGAATGATGAAATACATTGGATTTGTATGCTGTTGTTGCGAAACATATAGCGAAAAAAAACGTTTAAAGTTCAAATCAAACATTCAAAATACTTCATAGATCCTGAAAAGTTTTTCCAATCTTTTATTGAACATTATAAGCTGCTGTGTGTTTTCATATTTTTTTTCTTTTTAGCACATAGCGAACCACATTAATAAGAAATAGTCACCAATCGGTAACTGATAAAAAAAGCTTGTTAGCGCAGCCCCTTTGTGGCTGAAATGGGAAACTCATATATTTCCTATAAGCTAAAATATTCAACAAAATTTAAAACTAGTTGCGGAGGTCTGTAATGGGGAGAAAAGTGGAGAGAAGACGTGAGACTTCGATTTAAAACTTATATTCACTATTTTCTTCGGAAATATTTGTGAATTCTACAAAACGTGCCTATACTTGGTGCACATCAAGAAAAACATTTTTATTTAACAAGTTTGAAATAATTTTCATCAGTATATCTGACGAATCATGGAAAACGTTTGTCATTTAGAAAAAAAAACAGATTTTACAAAATGGCATTTTATTTGGCGACTTATCAATCTTGAAAAATGATAACTCGAAATTGAGATATGATAGAAAACTATTCTGTTGTTAAAAAACAAACAATAAAGTTTTCATACGTTTTTAATTAATAGCTATCCCACGTTTTATCTTTTCATGACTGTATTATGTTTTTTAACAGTACCTATATTATCTGTTGCTCTATCTCAAATTCTGAATGTTCTTCGTACAAACACGACATCGTTTTATCTGCTAACACTTGAAACCATTGCTACCGACCTTGATTTCTCAACAGATCAATATGAAGATAGTATAAAACTTTAGCTCTCTATCAATATAAACTAAGGAGGGTTTGGATGAGCAGATAACAAAGTAAAAATTTATATGCTCAATTATTAATTGTCGATCATATCATAAATAATGTCTTGATAAACTGTAGACTATTATTGTGTTACTTAAGACACTATCTGTGATTTTTCAATGAAAACTCAAACTATTCTCGAATAAAATATCTGTAAGATATAGATTAATTCGAGAAAGTTGGTCATCTTGATTTTGAGTGAGGCATAGCACTGTGTATTTTCGCTCTGAACTATCGTGCTTTAAAACAAACAATTAAACGATAATTATAATAATATAGACTTTATTTAGTATGCAAGATGCGTATACCAAACATAATAAACCAACTGGTGAACCAAGCAGTCCAAAACGAAAAGAGCACCACTACGACAAAACCATAATTAAGTTGCATCTGACTTCATGTAAGCTGTAAATAAACCCACTAAGATAGAAAATAGCGTCGATAAGAGTGTGGACGTGAATGTAATGTTCGTTTCGAACGCACCAACATCGACGCTCTATTTACAGTGACATTTGTAAAAATATAATCAATGATATATGCAACAAAATTTTGACAATGCTTAGAAGCCGAGTTATCCGCTCAGGGATATTGTTTCGGTCGAAGTATAACT